GATGAGTTATGAATAAGCTGCTCAGGAAAGGTGGGAGGAAACTCGGGAGCAGCTCTCTCTGTATTGCAAGATTTACATGGAGTTATACTCTGCTATTTCGAATTTATGTGACTGACGTACTAAAACAGCAGGTTGTCTCTACCACCTCCTTCTGAACCTTCCACCACTGCCCTCCCCCACCAGCACTTCGTTTCATCCTGGCATATTTCTTTAACCTGATAACACTGCCTTCAGCAGCGAGAGGATGACAGAGGAAGAGTCGCAGAGTGGCAGAGGGGCAGTCATCTGCTGCCCCCCTTATCTCCCCCTAGCCTCTCCCCGCATTGCCCCGCCTTCCAATGTTTCTGTGCCTCCCACCATCACACGGCACAAAGAGAGAGAGAGGGTGGGAGAAACCCCCCCTGCCTCCAAAGTTACCCTCCCAGCCTTACCCCCACCTTTCTGAGATTTTCGTTGCCTCACTAAACCCTAAGCCCTAGACCCTAAACCCAAAACCTAAAGCCCATGGAAGGCCAGCAGGCTGCAGTAGGTGGAGGGAGGTCATCCACTGCCTCCCCCATCTCCCTTGCCTAGCCTATCCCCGAGTTTCCCCACCTTCCATTGTTTCGGTGCCTCCCACCATCGCACAGCAAAAAAGAGAAAGGGGGCAGGGGAGACACTCGAGCCCCCAGTTACCTTCCCAGCTTTACCTCCACCTCTCCAAGGCTTGGACTTGCCTTTCTAAACCCTAAGCCCTAAACCCTAAAACCCTAAGCCGTAAAGGCCACCCAAAAACACAAGGCTGTGGCAGGTCGAGGGAGAAAAAGGGAGAGTCGCGAGGTGCAGAGTTGCCATCATCCACCACCTCACCCATCTCCCCCCAGCCAGAGTTGCTGTCATCCGCTGCCTCCCCCATCTCCCCCCAGCCTCTACCCTCCTTGCCCCAACATCTCCCCCCAGCCTCTACCCACCATGCCCCACCTTCCACTGTTTTTGTGCTTCCAGCCATCGCACAAGCCTTCCCAGTTACCTTCCCAGCCTTACCCCCACCTTTCCGAGGTTTCCGTTGCGTCACTAAACCCTACACCCTAAGCCCTAAAGCAATGACCCCCACCTTGCGGAGGTTTCCGATTCATCACTAAACCCTACACCCTAAGCCCTAAAGCAAAACAATAAAAGGCCTCTCTCTCTCTCTCTCTCTCTCTCTCTCTCTATGAAGTGTTAATAAAAGGTAAAGCAAATAGTGAAACGAAGACAAGACCTATTGCAGCAACACCTCGAGTGGTAGAACGCATGTTTTGCAAGCATGAAGTTATTGGTTCAAGTCCAATCGTCTCCAATTACCCCACAAGCCCACGTAGCGAGCGCAACCCTCGCTTTCTGTTGCTAAGACATCGCAACGATGTGCTGCACTCACAAAAAACTACCAGTGATATACTGGAGGAAGGTGCGGACGACGTCAAGTCCGCATGGCCCTTATAGGCTGGGCTACACACGTGCTACAGTGCCAATGATAATAGGAAGCAAGGCTTTAAGGCGGAGCGAATCCTGAAACATTGCCTCAGTTCGGATTGAGACAGAGGTAGTGGTGGTTTAACCCCCACCTTTTCAAGGTTTCCATTGCCTCCCTAAACCCTAAGCCCTAAGACCTAAAGCAGAAACCATAAGGTTGGGAGGTTGGGGAAGGTTCTCTCTCTCTCTCTCTCTCTCTCTCTCTCTCTCTCTCTCTCTCTCTCTCTCTCTCTCTCTCTGTGTGTTTGTGTGTGTGTGTGTGTGTGTGTGATGGAGAATTGGACACGGGGCGGCAGTTGGGCAGAGGCTGCAAGGTGTTGCATCATGGAGGCAGTAACCGCAAGGGGCAGTGGTAGGGATGGGCAGCCTCACCAAAAAGCGGTGCTTCCCATTTCCCAGCCTTAAACCCCACCTTTCCACTAAACCCTGAGCTTTCCATGTGGGGACATCGATCCAGATTCCCAACCAGTCACCAAAAATTAAAATCACCCACGAATCCGGCCTGCACACAAGAGAATCGCCTTGATTTGGGGTCATGCATGGAATCTGAGATTGGCCCAGGATTGGCACCAATTGTCAGCACCACCCAGATTTGCAATGAATGACTAAAAATTACCATTAGCCACAAATCTAGGTGGTGGAACAGATGACGACCCTGATGTGAGGCCAATAATAAAAAAATGAATACTTGCGGGCAATTGGACTGTGCTTGGAGGAACAGCCCAGATTCACAGCCAATCTTGATTTTTCGTGGGCAACAACCGGCAGCATTCCAGAGCAGGAACAGGAACCAGCCAAGATGGGTCCTTTTGAAGATTACATGTGGATGGGGGCAGCGGGAGGTGCCAAGCAGAGGGGGTTGCACAATGCTTTACAAAAATGGAAGTGTCTGCAAGTGTGAGAAGGGGGTGGAGAGAAGTGTAGCTTTCATCTGCAAGTTTGAATAGCACAGTAGGAGAAATTAGTGTCTCACTTTCATCCACAAATCTATTTCATTAACAGACAGATGGATGCATGGAGAAAGGAACGTGGATGTACTGATGCACAGGCAAGCAGACAACAATGGCGGTGGATGGACAGACAGACGAGTGCACGCGCAGGCTGGCAGAGAAGGGCAGCATGTCACTTTTGCTTGTCGTTCTTACGGCACGGTGAACTCCTGACGTAGCTTCCTCACATCCAATAATGGGCATTTGGAACCAACAGCCTTTATAGAGCACTCCTATAAACAGTTAGGCACACCAAGTGTCCTTCTCACTATCAGCATAGCCAGCCGAGCGACACATTCATTGCAATTGAAGATGATGCTCTGTAAAAGGCCATAAGGAAGACCCACTCTTAGCATGGGGAACGGGCAATTGCAGCCATGCTCTCCGCAGAAAACGGAACAGCCACCATCCATTTCTAGCATCCGTAGGAATTACCAAATTCTTTTCTCTACCACTAATGATAACACTAGTGATACCCGTGGAAGGTCTCAGAAGTTCTGCTCATTCATACTGGAAAGAATTGAGGTCGGACTTCTCCCCTGTGTGAGGATCACTGGTTCACATTAATCATGGGAAATCTGATGAAAGTTGCATTCAGATCTACCCCGAAAGGATAGCATGAAGAGCTTCCCGAAAGGATAGCATGAAGAGCTTCTTAAGAAAAGCGACACAGTAACTCACCATTACAGAAATAGCCGTGACTGTCTTCACACAGGTTCCCAAGGTTGTTTCCCCCACTAATTGGTTTGTCAAATCTTACACCGACCTTCCCTCGCGGGTTGTCTTCAAACAGCCTTACAACCTTTCCTCGACAACCAACATAAGGCCCGCGGCTGCAACACTCACCAGAAACAACCATCCACAGTGAACATTCAGAGTCATCAGTCACCAATCACCGGTAACATCCACTGAGAGTTTTCAACACATAGTCTCTTGCCATCCCCGTACAAACTTCCAATACATATTCACTGCACAGGAGAGAGACTTTCGATGCCAGAACGACGCCCGCCGGTGCTGGGGTGTTGCCCTGTAACCTGCTGATGCAGGAGTGTGAGGCCTGGTAGAGAGATCTGGGGATCCTTTGGGGTGGGCATTCCAAGGGACAACCAAGGGTTGCTCGATACTGGCCGGAGCTGGGGCGAGTTGTGTTGACCTGTAACCCAGCAGGGTGGGCATGTGAGGCCTGGAAGAGCTCGGCAGGGAGTAAGACAGTGCTGGAGAGCTTTAGAAGGGTTGCTAGGGATCCACAGGGTTCTGAGCATCTGTAGGACCTCTGTGGTGGCGTGTTTTGTTGTGGGCAGACCTTTTTCTGTAGTTTGTCGTAGTAATTTTCCTAAGCAGCTCAAAATTGTCTCAAATTCTCTTAGCCAAAGCTCGGTAATGGCCCCGGTATCTCAAACTTTCAAATTCGATGTAAATTCCATACTTGCGGCGCACCGGTGCGGTGTGCCGTGCGGGATGCGCTCACCCACACCTCATGCGCATGTGCGCGGGTGTGCGCACCGGTTGCGCTGTGTGGGATGCGCGTCAAAATGCGCCCCCGGGCAGGGGTACGCGCTGTGCGCTGTGCCATTTTCCTTTTCTTTTTTCGATTTTGGCGTGTGTGTGTGTGTGTGTGTGTGTGGCGTGTGTGTGTAAGTGTGTGTGTGTGTGTATGTGTGTGTGTGTGTGTGTGAGAGAGAGAGAGAGAGAGAGAGAGAGAGAGAGAGAGAGAGACAGATCCGTTCGACCTCAGCACGCGTCCGCGACTGATGGTTTTGGCGGCGCATGCTGATGTAGAAGGTATGCCATCCGAGACTTGGACGAATCTGACCGCAATCACGTCCAGAGCTCAGTAGAAAAAGTCCGAGTGTGAGTATGCTGTACACTCAGACCTGTTCTACTAAGCTCTGGCCGTGATTGCGGTCAGATTCGTCAAAGTCTGGCCGTAAGTGCCATCAGATACATTTCTGGAAGAGCTAGTGTCAGGCCTCAGGTAAGCACATAACGCATCTCTGGAACCTTTCTTTTTTTTTTTTTTGGAGAATCTCTGGACAAATGAGATTGAATCCTCCGCTTGAACATGGAAAGATATATTGCCATATCTGTCTTGTTTGCATGTCGAGAGTAGTGCAGCGAGGCCATTGGTGAATAGTCTTGTCGAGGTTCAGACAGGTTGGACGCGCGGGGCTTTGCTCCACCACTCACCACATGATCACAAGACAAAACCGAGGGTGTTGCATCTTTCCATGTTCTAGGTGAAGATTCATTCTCTTTTCTCACAGTTGAGTTGGTGCCTCTTCTGAGGGATTCGGGCGACAGGTAAGTCATTCTGATTTTCTTCCTTTACGTTCTTTTCTTTTTATTATTAGCAAAAAACTCATGGTAACCCCAGACCCAGACACCGGACGCTTCCGGACTGACTTCTGAACCAGTGTCTGGACCGGTCCGGACATCGCCGGACACCGGACAGTCCGGACCGGTCCCCGGGGTGCAAAAATGTCCGGACGCCTAAGTGCAACAATGTTGCCTCTACAAAGAAAATTCGGGAGAAAAAAAAA